CACTAAAGAGGACAGTAGATAAACTCACCCTAAAACAGAAGAGCAGAGAGAGAGGCCTCAAGGACTCAGCATGCAGAATCCCATGCTACTTGATGAGGGTCATGTGGGCAGGAGGACACAAAGACCAGACAGGTAGGCGATGAGACTGAGGGGTTACAGATGGCAAAGGCAACCCCTCAGACCAGTGCGGGAAAGTGGCTTGCCCCAGAAAACCACCCACAACCAGGACTGGAGGCTCAGGCCTGTCATCCCAGCTAATCAGGAGTCTGAGGCAGGAGGATGGTTGTCAGGTTTGGGGATAGGCACTACTAAGCCATCTCACAGACCCCTCAAAAATATTCTGGAAATAAAAGATATCAAGAGCAAGAAAATAATGCACAGGTGACAGATAGATGTTTACAACGTTCAAAGTCATCAAGGGGTTTAGCAGCTAGATCATAAAGGAATCCTGTAAACCAACAACTATAATAACAAGCACGACAATAGGCCCTAACCAACCACAACCATAACAGCAACCATGGCAACAATCCCAGTCATAATATAGCCACAAACATAACAACAAACACAGCAACAATCATCAACCATAATAGCACTACTAACATAACAACCGCAGCAACAGTCACCAACCATAAGAACTACAACCAAAACAACAACAACCAACAACCATAATAACAACTATAATTATAACAACAATCACAATCACAATAATCATCAACCATAACAACCACAACCATAACAGCAACCATGGCAACAATCCCAGTCATAATATAGCCACAAACATAACAACAAACACAGCAACAATCATCAACCATAATAGCACTACTAACATAACAACCGCAGCAACAGTCACCAACCATAAGAACTACAACCAAAACAACAACAACCAACAACCATAATAACAACTATAATTATAACAACAATCACAATCACAATAATCATCAACCATAACAACCACAACCATAACAGCAACCACACCAACAACTAGCAACCACAATTAAAACAACAACCACAGTCATAACAAGCTTTCATCCATAACCACTATAACCAAAAATAAAACAACAGCCATCACCAACACAACCACAACAGTCACTACCACTACAACAACCACAATTGTAACAACCACAGCAACAACCACCAAACAACCACAATCATAACACCTATAGCAAGAGCCCCCAATGATAACAACTACAACTACAGTTATAATTGTAGCTACTACCACTACAATAACAACAGCCACTACTACAACAATCATAACTATACTCCAAACAACAGCCACTACAACAGCCACCATCACCACGACAATAGCTCAAACACACACACAAATTCTGTTGTGTATGAAGCAAACCTGAGATTCATTAATTTTGATACACTGAGCTGTCTCCTGGCACACGCTGGATGTTCAGCGCTCCTCTCTCTGGATAAAAGCTAATGGAGGCCGGAGGACTCCTGGCACTTTGGAGGATATGCCACCAGAGGCAGTGGAGTCTGGGTGCACTTAGTCAAGAGTGTACACACCCTGGACACATTGTTCCAAAGCTTCAGGAAGCACGTTTACAAAGTCAGGGCTGGGGACAAAGCTCAGCTGGTAGAGCCCTGGCCTAGCATGCACAGAGCCCTGAGCTCAGCTCGAGTGCTGTGTACATCAGGTGCAGTGGAGCATGCCTATAATCTCAGCACTTAGGAGAAGAAGGCAGGAGAATCAGAGATCCAAACGCATCCTTGGCTACGTAGCCGAGTTCAAGGTGAGTATGCTGAGTACTAGGACAAGTGACGTTGAGAGAGTCAACAGGGAGGAAGGGACATGCATTGTGAGGCCCAGTGAACTGGTGAACCCACATCAGCATGAGCAGGTCTGAAGATAAGACACAACATTAGAGTCCCAGCACAGAGCAGGCACGGCGGTGCAGGCAGGTAGATCTGCAATCCCATACCACTCAGGAGGATAAAACAGAGCATGGTGAGTTCAAATCCAGCCTGGGCTACATACTGAACTATTTTCTGGGGGGCAAAAGGTAAAACAAAACAAATAACAACAAAAAAGTATGAGTTGAGACATACATACAAAACACCGTTTTTTCAAAATCTCACATAGAAAAAAGAAACGCAAATA